TTATACGCACCCCCATAGTTTGTGCCAGTGAGAGTAGAAGATATTCGTAGGCTACAGGTTTTCGATCATAGGTGTCTTCGATGCATTGCTCGTATACCGTGGGACAACCGAGTAAGCAATGCTTTCGTTAGGAAACGAGTACTAGGCAAGGATGGCAGATCAATCGATGAAGTAATAAAACTTCATCAGTTGAGGTGGTTGGCACCTGTGTTGCGTATGCCTAACCACCGACTGCCTCGACGAACTTTGTTTTGTAGTATAGTAGTAGGTTGGAAGAAAGTTAGGGGCGGACAGACCAAAACTTGGCAGAAATCCATGAAGTCATTGACGAGTGGACTTATCCATGTCGGTAATTGTAGACTAGCTGGTTGGTGTCCGCGAGATGATAATAATCGATGGTTAGAGACCTTGAATGACATGGCTCGAAATGGTTTGCAATGGCGCCGGTGAATTTATTCTTTGTGTTCTCTCAAACCCTAATTTTATGGATTCTTCAACACCTCTCGTTTCGACTCTCTAAACTTTTCTCACTGAATCATACTTCTTGAATAGTATCTTCTAATCCTAACCTCTCGGATTACTTCTAATTCCCTTACTACCTCTACTACTATTGGATTTGAATTGACAATTACATCTCTGTGCTGATGTGGTATGGCAACATGAACTGATGTACTTACGTACGAAGTTCTACGTTGCATCTGACTGACTGAATGACTGACCTCCATAGTTTGTAGTTAGGGTTTTTCAATCCTCCTAAGTGGATGTTTCATACCCATCAATGAGGTTTAAATACGGGACAGAGGCTTTTTGTCCTCGCATGAGAAGTCAGTGAGTAGGATTTTCGTTAAAGTGGTTATCTCTTCATATCAGTTTGAGTATTTCGAGATGGAGAGTTAACTGTCCCTTCCCTTGTCCTAACAGCGCGTTCCGAGACCCGGAAAGTTGCATACTATTTGTAATTTTATGAAACTTTTTTGAAGTTTTTTATACAAGCGACTAGTTTATATTGCTCTACTGTAAAAGTGTCATTATTTATGGTTGTACAGTACTTATTTTATTGACGGGTAGAGGTAGGTGATTTTTTATCGTCCTTTGGATTGATCAAACCTATGTTAAGATGTCTTTGAGGTGGAATCTAGGTCACTGAATTTATTCACATTATCTCCATCTATCTATCGAGTTATTACAGTATTCTTACTCTATTAACTTTATTCAATTAGTATCTTTTGTATATTGTAGTACAATTGATTATTTATTTATTAGTACGATAAATCATCTGATGTTAGAAATAAAGCTGTTGAACTTATGCGGTACTTAAGACAAATTTTGAAAATCCCTTTAACCTGGCTTTCGATAAACCAATTGTCAAATACACTGAATTTTACATCGGAGCAGTTAAGAATAAAAATTGAATTTTCTATTCGTGAGGTGAGTTTGGAGAGTAATAATAAACTGATCACAATATTGATATTGAATACTTGCATAAAATTGTTGTTGAGGTTTGTTGCTTATTCATTTATATTTAGCCTCAAAATAAAAACAAGATAGGTCAAACTCCTTTTTTTATATTTCTGCAGTAAATCAATGTTACAACAGAAACTAAGATCAAACGTTTAACAATTATCATAGTTTCTACATTTATTTCAACTGGAGTTAATCTTTAAATCAGTTGGAATCAACCACTTAATTGTTTCAAACACGTCTATAAATTTATATAAAATCAAATAATTAATTATATGTTGAATAGACCGTTATAGAACGTAGATTTTCTGTTCTATTTTACATCATGATTGTAATTTAATGTTAAGATCAAATCTATTTTAAAATTCAAATCAAGTTATTGACGAATTTACCGTGTATCCCCGCGTAATAAAGCTGTGTAATTATTATTACGTATACTTTCCCTATCTGACTGGTATCAATGACTGGTTTTCCTGGTTTTTAAAAAAAGGACAAAAGTCCTCTGGTGACAATCACAGAGGAATAAGTCTAACTAATATAGTATCTAAAATATTAGCCTCAGTAATACTTCGACGCTTAACGAAAGCTCGCGAAGTGTAGACTGGAGAAAACCAGGCTGGTTTTCGACCTGGACGTCGATGAGTAGACCGGATATTCACACTACGTCAGGTCCTAGAACAAAGACATGTTCAGACGCCCCACAATAGTAGTATTCCTCGACCTTAAAGCGGCATTCGACTCTGTTGATGGTGAGGTTCTGTGGCAGTGTCTGTCATTGAAAGGTGTACCAGAGAAGTACATTAACCTTAAACAAGCTCTCTGCTCAAACACCACTGGTCGAGTTAGAGCATATGGCGAACTGTCATCTGAATTCCTTACTTCAAGTAGTGTCCGTGAAGGCTGTTCATTCTCTCCATTCTTATTCAACTTTGTAATTGACATGCTTTTAAAGATAATATTATCATCGTTTGACTTTTCAGAGGTTGACCTTCTACTAGGAGACTCGCTTGTTGACTTAGAATAGGCCTATGACAGTCTTATTTGGTGAAAACGCAGACAAAATGTAGTCCTCTCACCACCTCAAGCAACAATGCAAGCATGTTCGAGATGGGATTTTCCCCCTTCGAAATGCGAAATGTTGTTTCAGGATTGACTGGCATCGGCACCTGAACTAGTGACAGGGTGATAGTGATAGTTGAGCGTGTTGATCGCTCCACTTATCTCATCAGTCCATCAAGACTGATGACTGACGAAATCTCAGCACGGATACAGAGGGCTTGGCTAACTTTTGCCAACTTGCGTCACTTATGGCGTCGGCGAGATATCCGTTACTAACCAAAGTCTACTGCGCAGTAGTTCGCTCCGTCCCGTTTTACGGGTGTGAAACATGGCTAGTAAGACTAGAGGATATTCGTAGGTTACTAGTATTCGATCATGGGTGTCTTCGGAGCATTACTCGTGTATCCTGGGATAATCGAGTAGCAATGCTGTTGTTAGAAAACGAGTACTTGTTAAGTATGGGAAGTGGTGAATCTCCATCAGTGGAGATGGTTGAGACATGTGTTACGTATGCCCAACCACCGACTGCCTCGACGAGCGATGTTGTCTGATGTTGGGTTAGGCTGAAAGTTACGGGCGACCAAACGGCACAAATCCATGAAGTCGCTGACAACTAGACTGAGCCATGGTAGTGAATGTAGGCTACCTGGTTAAGGTCCGCAAGACGATAGTAACCGATGTTTAGACCTTGAACTACATGGCTCAAAATCGTTTGCAATGGCACAGGTACATTTGTTTTTCGTCTTCTCTGAAATTCTCATCGTCTGAATTCCTCATGACCGTTTTTTTCTCTTTTCGAATTTAATTCACTGGGATATACTCCTTGAATAATATTTTCGGTCCCTTATTTTATCAATCGCTGCTTATACTTCTACTATCGCCATGAGATTTAAACTAACGGTTGTGTCTCTGTACTAATTCTGTATTGCAACCTGGACTTAGGTACTTGCGTACGAAGTCGTATGTCGTAACTGTCTGACTGAGTCATATTTATTAGGTGCCCAAAACGCCATTGAGATGAAACGGCCTTCGCACTCTATGGGTTTACGGGTGATTGGCTTTGCAACCAGACCAGCAGAAACGTATTGTTTTATGAACAATACGTTGTTGTTTCTTCTGAGCACCCTAAGCAACAATGCAAGCATGTTCAAGATGCGGTTTCCCACTCAAAATGCAAAATGTTGCTTCAAGACTGGGTTGCATCGGGACCTAAACCAGTGATAGGGAGTGAAGTAGTCGAACGTGTAGACCGCTTCACTTATCTGGGGAGTCTCATCAGTGCCGATGGCCTGGTGACTGACGAAATCTCAGCTCGGATACAGAAGGCTCGATTGGCTTTTGCCAACCTGCGTCACTTATGGCGTAGGCGAGATATCCGTTTGCTGACTAAAGGACGAGTGTACTGCGCAGCAGTTAGCTCCGTCTTACTTTATGGCTGTGAAACATGGCCAGTGAGAGTAGAAGATATTCGTAGGTTACTGGTTTTCGATCATAGGTCTCTTCGATGCATTGCTCGTATATCGTGGGACACCCGAGTGAGCAACGCTGTTATTAGGAATCGGGTGCTAGGTAAGAATGGCAGATCAATAGACGAAGTGCTGATACTTCATCAGTTGAGGTGGTTGGGACATGTGTTGCGTATGCCTAAACACCGACTGCCTCGACGAACTTTGTTTTGTAGTATAGTAGTAGGTTGGAAGAAAGTTAGGGGCGGACAGACCAAAACTTGGCAGAAATCCATGAAGTCATTGACGAGTGGACTTATCCATGTCAGTAATTGTAGACTAGCTGGTTGGTGTCCGCGAGATGATAATAATCGATGGTTAGAGACCTTGAATGACATTGCTCAAAACCGTTTGCAATGGCGCCGGTGAATTTATTCTTTGTGTTCTCTCAAACCCTAATTTTATGGATTCTTCAATACCTTTAGTTTTGACTTTCTAAACTTTTCTCATTTAATCATACTTGTTGAATAATATCTTCTAATCCTAACCTCTCGGATTACTTCTAATACCTTAACTACCTCTTCTGCTATTGGATTTGAATTGACAATTACATCTCTGTGCTGATGTGGTATGGCGACATGAACTGATGTACTTACGTACGAAGTTCTAAGTTGCGTCTGACTGACTGTATTGTTTTATGAAACAATAATTTCAACTGTTATGTAGATGTGGTGAATATAGAATCTCTGCATTGTCATTCAAATTAATAGTCTGAGAGTTAATTTGTTTTCGAAAATATTTTGCATCATTAACATACAACCGTTAAATGCTCACCTGAAACATAAGAGTTTCAGGAAATCTAGCTCTAAATACTGTTTACTAATGAAAATCGCGAACCTACAGCTTACGAGGGTAAAGATTTTCATAGATCGTGGACGGCTTCGTACAACTTTAGGTGATTACTATGCCGAATGGACTCCTGTCGCATAACCAACTGTTTTTCTAAAACATTTGTCTGTTTAACATTCTTTTTAATAACCATTCTCACAGCCAGTTATTTTTCGCTGTTCATACTAACACTGAGGCAATTGTCACCAAACATAATGAGTGTTATTGCTTGCGTATTTCCATTTGTAGCGTTTGCCTGATTCCAAATGGTTAATTCGCTTTCAAAAGCTGTTTAGAAAAAAATTGAACGACCCTATCCTATTGATAGATCAAGTTGTATCTTCTACTAGTCAAACTAAACCAGGTAAATTCATTGTTTAAGGTTTTGTTTATCATTTGGTTATAGATTTGAAATGAATTTTCTCGGTACAATAAATAGTTTTATCATCAGTAAACTTGTCATGAAATGAGCTTGACCATATTTTCGAATATTTAAATATCTTGTATCGTTTACAATGTACTGTTATTGTTCATATGCAGTTTTAAATTTTGGAAATTCCATATGTAATTTGTGTGTAATGCACTGCTTTTGTAAATTATTTTCAATTTCTTGAAACTAAATGATATTTTTTCATCTAGATGACGCTTTCTATTAGCTCCATCGACGTAAGGATTTTTTATTACGCTTTAGTACATCTCTGTGCCCTATATATTTACTTGCTTACGCCTGTATACCTCCAATGAAGCAAGACGTCCGGCCAGCACTCTCCAACCTACTCTGTCCTGAGACTTACTTTCCAATTATACCTAATTTCTGTGTATACTTTTCATTTCTACTTACAATTCTCGGTGTAATGTGTACTCAGGTCTTCCTCTTTTCCGTTGGCTTTGAGAGTTCCAAGTTAGAACCTGCCCTGTGACACGGCTGGATGCTTTCCACAATGCATGTGCCATCCACTTCGAGAGCTTCTCCCTGATTTCTTCTTCAGATAGAATCTGGTTTGTTCTCTTCCACATTAGGTTGTTGCAGATAGTGTCTGGCCAACGGATGAGGAGTATTTTGTGTAGACAGCTGTTTTTAAACACCTGTATCTTGTGGATGATGACTTTCATGGTTCGCACCATAGAGTAGAATTGTCCTGACATTTGTATCGAAAATTTTGACTTTGGTGTTGGTTGATAGACGTTTTTAGTTCCAGATGTTCTTCAGTTGTAGAAATCCTGTCCTTATTCTGCCAGTTTGTATCTTTCCATCGCATCAGATCCACCTTGTTTATGATGGTTGCTGCACAGATATGTAAAGGTTTCCTCATCTTCCATAGCTTTTCTGTCAAGTGTGATTTGGTTGGTTTTCACAGTGTTGTTTCTAATTTTCTTGCTTTTTCCTGTGTGTATGTTGGGGCCTGCCGTTGCCAAAGTGGCCGTCTCTCCGTACTTCCCTCAAGACGTTGAGGTTTTCATGATCTAGTCAACCACAAGCAGAAGGGTAAGGGGTGAGCGTAAACAACCTTGCCTGGCACCGATCTTGCAATGGAATCGATCGTCTGAATTCCGCATAATGTTGACCATCTTCTC